GCTTTTGACGAACCGCCGCTGCCGTTCTGCTTGGCTGCATGGGTAGAGCACCGTTAACTGTTTTTATCATTTTAATTGTTTCATTGCTTTCGGTGGGCGACCTTTCTCTCTTTCTCTTCCTGGATTGGGCTGTACGGGAGGAGAAAGAGTGAGTGTGTGTGTGCTGGTCGTCCCACTGCTCGGCGGACGCCTTCACGCTTCGGCTTCGCTTCACGGGGTTTGTTTTGTGTTTCTCTGTTTGTTTGTGTTGTTGCTTTGATTGACCGCACCCATTCCGCAGCCTCTGCCGGAGACGTCAGTTTGTTGTAGGCGTCTGCATCTTTTTGTGTGTGTCTTTCCATTGTCTGTTTATTTCTCTTCTCGCACCGCACCAGTTTGTGGTACGCGCGGCGGGTTTGCTGCGGCCCCTGCAACGCACCGCGCCTTCCCGCGCAGGGACCCAGCGGCACCGGCGAGGAGGAGGAACCCTTTTTTTTCCCCTTGTGTATGATTTTTGTTTTTGTGTGTCTACCCCATTTTCGTTGTCGTCTGCTGCCGGTGCTTTGCTGGACGAATCCGCGCCTCTATTTTCCCCCTTTTCTGCCTCGGTGGTTGCGTGCTGCGCGCTGCCATGCGTGGCGGGGGCATTGCCGTGCGCCTCACGGATTGGATGCAACGGACGCGTTGAGGGGCAGACCGAGTGAGGCATGAACTGCGCGGGGGCGTGAGGGCCTTTGCGGCAGGGCGATCTTTAATTTCCCCCCTGCGGACGATGAACGCACACGGACACGCACTGCCCTCTTGCGCTGCTGGGTGCGTGGGGCAAAAACATCTGCCGGAACATTTTTTTTAAATTATTTATTTTATTTTTCTTGTGGGGGGGAACTGCGGGAATTTATTACTTTTCATCTGCGGTATCTCTTCTTTTGTGTCTCGGGCGATAGTCACCGCTGCTGCCTGAGCTCCGGTGCCGCGGCCGCCACCTTGCGGAATTGAGCTGCCTTTAACTCCCTCTTCCCTCTGTCTACCGGCACGCCCCCGTTCCGTTATGGCACTGCCTCGCGTCTCACCCACACACCCACACACGCAGAAGGAAGGAGACCAAACACCACTCGCTGCTGTGCACGCTGAAGGCTCTGCAGTCACCACCGGCAACACACACATACACACACAACCGTCGCGGCCTGAGCGGATCCACCGCAAGGAGGAAAGGGAGAGAGAGGGAGAGTGGGAGCAGCGGCGACCCAACATGCCCCGGCACGTGTTTTTGTCTTCCGTGGTGCTGCTGCTGTTCCTCTTTGTGCCATTGCTGGCGCGCGGCAGCAGTAAAGCTGTCAACGCTGAAGGGACGGAGTCGAAGGAGGTTGAGCTCTTCAAACCGAATGAAGATGTGGTGCTCGTTGATGGAGAAGAGGGGGAAATAAAAGCACGCTACAAGGGCGCTTCCTCATTTCAAGGCCATTCCCTCGTTGAGGCAGATGGTGTGATGGTTGCGCTTGCTTTGGCTGCCTACAAGGACGGTGGTAGATACCGCATGGATATTGGCATGTGGGCAAAGTGGCACCTGTACGGAGACGGCAGTAAGATGTCCAAAGACGCTGCATGGGATAATCACTGGAAAACGCAGCTTGTGACTGAACCGTCTGCCAAAGAGGGCCACGGTGGCCTACTGCTCAGCTGCAAGGCCGTGGTGAGGGGAAATAAAATATTTGTTCTTGCGTCGAATCCCACCGTTATTACCAATGGTGCTTCGGGGCTTGAAACTTTCTGGGGTCTTGAGCTGATTGTTGGTGAGGTTCAGAAGACCGCAGAGAATGATGGGAAACAAGTCTCATGGAAGAAGACCAGCTTGCCGAAGTCCAAGCATGAAGCGACGATGCAGCAGCATTCGTGGGAGAGGCTGGA